AAAACAAGGCTTGTGACAACATACTAGTTACTTGATACAGGAGTCATTTAGACAGCACTGTATGATGACTATAGTGTATATTTGAGATTAGCAAAGTTTACAACACCACATTGTCTTCTTCCCCAAAGCCTTTGAGATACACAGCTTCTATGTCTCAAATGGGCAAAGCAGGGCTTCTTACAACTTGTTTGATTTGTCAGAGTTCTAGCCATGAGCCATGGTACGTATAGTGCAATGGAAAATTGGGCCTTTTGTGGTTTTTTTTTTTTCTGGGTTTTGCTTTGGAGACTTGATATCAGATTAAGATAAGTGTCTGGCCATTGTTGAAATGTATATAGAGTGCTCTATCACATGTGGAACCCATTCCTTGTCAAATACTAAAAAATAAAATGTTATTACCTAATCCTTTCTCCATTAACCATGTTCGCCAATCTTTCAAAGGGGAGCCTCATTTGCTCTACTGGAAAGTGTATACTTTGGAACTGGCCACTATTCACTTACATCTAAATATGAGGCTGTGTGTAAGCAACCTCACCTCTCATGAACTTAATCATCATATTTGTCCAGTAGGGATCTGATTCCCTGCTTTATCTCTCTCTTTCTCTGGGAGGAATCAGAGGAGTCCAGATATAAGGAGGCCTTCTTTATGGATGATCAGACCAATCTTAAATGTGTGTATACGTGTTTAATTTTTTTGTTAAAGGTGAAGGTGTAAAGTTCAGGTGCTTAGGATTGGGGTCACTCATAAAAGCCTTAGTAATACTTTCGGAGGAGGTGCTCATCCCTAGCTGATGATTGGGTGAAAGATTAGTACAGTTGTATAATGGTGTGTAGGTGTCCTTATCTTGGCAAAAGCAAGAACATAAAAATAGATTAATATCTTTCAAGTGTTAATGAAAAGAATAACAATGGAAGGTGTGCTGTGAGCTTGCCACACTTCCCCCTTTTCCTCCTGTTACATATTTTAAATTAGGTCTAACTAATTTTTGAGATGTGAAAGAGCTTGCTCAAAAGTTTCTTGCTGAAGATATACTTTCAGGAAATTATAACCCTTTCAACTGCAAACTCCTTACCATAATCAAATGCATCAGTGGTAACATCAACTCAGTGAGCTGTTTCATGAAATCTCACATTTTTAAATATACAGAATCAATTGTAATTGAAAATGGAAAAACTATGCAGTTCCATGTGGATCAGCCAGCAGGGTGGTACACTTTGCTGGCAATTCAAGATAAGCAGATCTTGCCACAGAATCAGTAAAGAAGACCTGGGGGAAGAGGTTCACCTTTGAGAAGTGATTTTGTTTTCCCTGAAACACCTTTTAGTGACCCCAGAGATACACTTTTAAAACCAGTAGTGAAAGGGAATGTAACTAGGCATCTGATTGCTTGAGGCCTACCCCTGGTTACTGGAAAGACCTTAGAACTCCTTTCTAAGCTGTTCTACTGTTCCTTGGTCAACATGAACTATTTATATTTATTTATATTTATTCAAATTAATTGAGTTAATTTACTAAATTTAATTTAAATTAAGTTATTTTTAACTGACAAAGAAAAACTGTGTGTGTTTTTAAAAAATATTTATTTTTTAGTTGTAGTTTTCAATACCTTTTTTTAAAATTTATTTTTATGTGGTGCTGAGGATCGAACCCAGGGCCTCGCACGTGCTAGGCAAGTGCTCTACTGCTGAGCCACAACCCCAGTCCCCAAACTGTATATGTTTATAGAGTAATGTGATATGTGATGTTTGCCTATGTGTTTTCATTGTGGAGTGATTAGATCAAATTAATTAATATATCCATCATCTCATGTCCTTATGCTTTTTATGCTAACAACATTTAAAATCTATTGTAATAGCAATATGCAAGTATACAGTATATTATCATTAACTATGGTCTCTATATGATATAGTAGATCTCCAGAATTTATTGTGACTAACTGTAACTTTTTGCCCTTTGAACAACATCTCCCCATCCCCCTTTTCCTCCTGTTACATATTTTAAATGATCTGACTAATGATGAGCCTTAATTAGGAAAAAAAACCTATTTTAAAAAAATAAAATATCAATATATAACAATTATACCTAATAACAGGATTCATTGTGATATATTCATACATGCACAAAATATAATTTGGTCAATTTCATTCTCCAATATTTCCCCATTCCCTTCACTCTTTCTTCCCCCTTAATCTACTCTACTTATTACCCTCCTATTTTCATGAGATACCCCCTTTTATTGACCTTTTTTTCTCTCCAGCTTCCACATATGAGAGAAAACAAATCTTTCTGAGTGTGACTTATTTTGCTTAACTGGTTTCTAGTTCTATCCATTTTTTCCTGCAAAGGCCATAATTTTATTCTTGTATATGGCTGAGTAAAACTCCATTATATATACCACATTTTCTTTATCTATTGAAAAACACCTAGGCTGGTTCTGTAACTTAGCTGTTGTGTTGTGCTTCTGTAAACATGAGTGTGTTTGTATGACTATAGCATGATGACTTTAATTCTTTTGGCTAAATACTGAGGAGTGATATAGCTGTGTCATATGGTGGTTCCATTCCTTGTCTTTTGAGGAACCTCCATACTGATTTCCATAATGATTGTACTAATTTACGATCCCACCACCAACAGTGTATAAGTGATCTGTTTTCCTACATCCTCATTAACATTTATTGTTATTTGTATTCTTGATGACTGACATTCTAACTGGAGCAAAATGAAGTCTCAGTGTGGTTTCAATTTGGATATCCCTAATTGTTAAATATGTTGAACATTTTTTTCATATATTTGTTGGCCATTTGTAATTCTCCCTTTGAGAAATGTCTTTTTATATCACTTTACTATTTATTGAATGGGTTATTTGATTTTTAATGTTGAGTATTTTGAGTTCTTTATATATTCTAGATATTAATCTTCTGTGAGAAGCCTACTTGGCAAAGATTGTCTCCCATTCTGTAGGCTCTTTCTTCATGCTTTTAATAGCTTGTTGTGAAGAAGCTTATTAATTTGATGCCATATCATTTATTAACTCTTGGTTTTATGCCTGGAGCTTTAGGAATCTTATTGAAGAAGTCAGTGCCCATACCAATATGTTGGAGTGTTGAGGTTATGTTTTCTTTCAGCAGTTGCATAGTTTCTGGTGTAATTCCTAGGTATTTGATCCACTTTGAGTTGATGTTTGTGCAGAGGAGAGATAGGGATCTAGTTTCATTCTCTACATATGGATATCCAGTTTTTCAAGTATCATTTGTTTAAAAAGGTTGTCATTTTTTCCAACATATGAAAAATCACCTAAATTTTAAAAGAACTCATTGAGTATTTTAAAGACAGAGTAATTAGAATTCTGCTTTAAACAGTTGTCACGTTGTTACTTTGGGGCAAGTTTTGATGAATACATAAGTAGTATTTGTCATGAATTTTATCAACTGGATACAAATGCACAACTCAAAAACACTTGGAAATAGTCTATCTCTTAAGTAGGTTAAGCATCCCCTCTAAATCTTGTGTGCATTTTTAATGTACTTACCTTCTCCTTTTAAAGTAGCGCTGGGTAAAATTCAATCTGTGTCAGTGCTTGTCTGAATAATACTTACAAATTCTGCTTCAGTAGTGCCACTGTGAATGAAGCTGTGAAGTATCTCCTTGCATTACAGCTCTTCATACATCAAAGACTCTTTTTGAACTAGGTAATTATAGAAGGAAAAAAAAACATGTTTTAGTGCTACCTGAGTGTTCTTATTAATATTACCTTTGAAATGACTAATTATGTTACCCATAAAGATTGGGGGGGGGAAGTATTATGTAACTTACTCATTAAAAAAAAAAAGACTTTCACAAACTTTGATACCCTCCACCCCTCTCCAAAGCCCTTCTTTATTTCCATCATTACATTGATTTTTATGTTTAATGTTTATATATGAAAATGTTTGATGAATCCAACACATGCTGACTCCCTCCTGCTTTACAAAATTTATCATCTCTGTTGCTGGGGCTTTGAGCATGTCATTTAATTATCCTTGCTCTTAGGGTAAAGTATTGTTGGCCATGTGCCCTAAGACTCAAGCAAGATTTGAACAGCACCTCTTTTAAAATGAGTGTTTGAAAGCACTGAGAAGGTTCCCCTGCTGATAACAGGATGGGAGCCTGAGGGGCTTTTCCTGTTTGGAGACTTCAACTCACAAATAGACTGTGTGTACTGCCTGGTGGGACCGAGCTACCAATCACATCATATCTTTCTCTGTGAATGGGAAAGAATTCTGCTTAGCCACCTCATCTTTGCATGGAAAAATCAACTGCTTGTGCATAATCTTGTCACTAACTATTAGGCTGCATCAAGAGAAGATGAGTATCAGAGTATCCAGATTGAAGGCAATGATAGTGCCACCCTCCTTGGAGCTGGAGGATCACATCTAGAACAAAAGACTGAGTTAAAAGAGCCCCAGGCAATCAGGAGGGCCCCGCTGGGAGCACCTAAAATAGTGACAGAATGCATAAATGGAACATTGGAAGAAAAATTGAAGGTTCCCAATAAATGAAGGAGCAAGCTGAGGATATCTTGCCCTGGAGAAGAGATAATACCAGTGGATAGGATTGCTGCTTTCCAAAGCTGAAGGCCTGTCATACCAAAGAAGGAGGAAATATGTTCTATATGGCTCCAAATTACAATGTATAGGTAGAAGTTTCCAGAGAACAGGTTTTAGCTGCAGCCAGGAAGAATAGTGTGATCTAGCTGACTCAGCATGACTTCAAGCAGCAATGAGTCTCCTGTCATTGGCAGTGTACAAGCAGATGCTGGATGGTCCTTTGCAATGCAGATAGGCTTAGTGAACTGGAGTGGGGCAGTTAATTAAACAGGATAACTTTAAGTTCCCTTAAAAAACAGGTCAATTAAGTCTGTCCTCTTAGTAGTTGTAAGGGGCCTATTATATTTAGTGCCAAGAAGGGGTTTGATTGTCTAAGTACTCAGAAATAAAGTTGCTCTATTTTTCCTTATCAGGAGATGACCCATTCCTGGCCTACTCCTCTCACTGCCATGCATACTCCTGGAAACTCTGAGCAGAACACATTTTCCATCCCAGGACAGGTCAGTTCTCTTCCTCCATTCTCCTTATATTCATTTTGACAAAATCTTCTGATCAGATTCTTAAGGATAAAAGATCCTGGTCTTCTAGTGCCATAAAACCTAGATTCCATCTTGCCTCTCCCCTCAAGATGGTAATATACATATAATTTTTATTGAAAGAGCATCTTGAAGACAGGCTTCACTCAGATTCTGGCATGCATATCCTACTCCCTGTGCATTGCCACTGCCCACATGACTGTGCCCAGAACTTATGAATCAGAGGAGCATATGCTTATCCCTCAAGGAGGACCGAATGGATGATGAACCAACAAATTCAAAAATTTTAGATTTTAGAAAACTTATTATTTTTCACTCTGATAGATCAGTTTTCATTTTTGTATATCACCTTCAAGTCCTTACTCTCAAGCAGACAGATCTTTATCAAGCAGCCTGTCACATAGACAGAACTTTGTCTTCTACAGTTCTGTTGTCAAATTTTGAATATATTTTCCTCCCCCTGCTTCCAATAACAATCTATCACCATCAGTTTTTTAAGTGCCTAAATACATGTGGCTATCATACTTCAAAATACTTTAAAAGAATAATATACTTTAAAAGAAAAAAAATGCCTTATTGCCTTTCTTCCTTTTGCCTATTTATTCAGAAATCATTACCGAGGGCATATGATATTCTAAAAATTAGAAAAGCCATGCACATTTTTTTTCAGGTAAACAGCAAAGCAATGTACATAGTAGAGGTTTTCATAGAGAATATGAGGCTTAAAGAAGTATACAACCCTCCTGGGACTTAAAGGGGGTGCTCATATCGGAGGTGGCAGTACTTAGAGGACAAGGAATATTCTTGCAGGTACAAAAGGGCCCAGCAGCATTAGCAATGGTATAGAGAGATGAGGAATCATGGTGTGACACATGTGGGTATGAGTTTTTAGGATTAGCTAGTGGAGAGAGATGAACCCTGGACAAGTGAATGTCTTGCTGTGAAAGACCTTGGAAGTCATGCTAGGAATTTGAGCTTTACTTGTAAAAGGAGAAATAAATAATCAGATCCTTTAGCTTTTGAGGCTATGATTTTGACAATAATTCTGATCGAAACTGTGTTTAATTTCCCCCTCTTTCCTTCAAAAAGAGTCAGGTGTAAGTGAGTGGCAACCCTACCATCCCAGTCTGAGTGTGTGTCATTCTTTCCCAAAGCTTTACTCTCCCTCCTTTGCTGCCCTGGACTTGATATCTTTCTCCTAAGCATCTTCTGCACGGAGAACATTCCATCCATTTAGGAATGGAATACACCACTTGGACAGCAATTGCATTGTTTTCATCTGGGTTTTCCAATTTTGGAGATAATTTGTACAAGCTGCAATTTCGACATTTACAAGTATATACAAAAGAACTGGCTGTTTAAATGGGCTTTTTGTAGCATGTGAATGATTTGGAATCAGGCACGACTTGAGTTTTCTGCCAATTACTTGTGCTACCATCAACTTCACAATAAAGATAGAAGCAAGTTGGATAAAAGGGTAAAACCAGGATGGCCACATATCCGCTCTTTTGTTTCATTTGATTCCTGTCACAGTGTTGATTTGAAGGAAAAGTACATCCTACATAATAACCTCAGAAACATAATATTATATGCCTCACCTCATTCTAAGTATTTACTATATAGCAAATAATTAAATCCTCACTACAACTCACAGAAATTAAAACCTTTCTCATCGCTAGTTCATAGAGGAGGAAATTGAGGCATATAGTAGTTGAATTTTCTGCTTGAGGTCACTCAGTTAATAAATGAAGGCATTGGTATTTAGATCAAAGTGTTTTGACACCAAGGGTCATACTGTTTCTCAGTGTGTTCTTTCTCACACAGATTTAAAGATGCCCCAGTTCAAATTACATCTTCCAAAACATGACAATCTCCAGAAAATGGGTGGAATAGGTGATTGCCCATTCTTCTATCCTTGGACCAGAACTGGGAGATACCACCCTCCAGGGTAGCATCATTTTTCTTATATCCATGACAGAGTTTGCCTAGCAAAATGCTGCCATTAGAACAGAAATCTTAGATATTTTTAATCCTGGTTCTGCCATTTGCTGGCCATGTGCTCCTGTTCAAATTCCTCTTAGCCTCAGCTTCCCCATCTGCACTTGAGGTGGTGTATGTGTTTGGCGACCATAAAATTCCAGTAGACTTTTAGGTCAAATAGTCTATGATTATGTAAACTTATAAAAAAAAATACAGCTGAAAATTTCTCAATTTAAGTTTTTTTCTTACCAATCACAAATTTTAAATGCCATGTTTTGGGCCAAACATGGTGGCATACACCTGTTATCCTAGTGATTTGGAAGGCTAGGATAGGATGATCACAAGTTTGAGGCCAGCCTCAGCAACTTAGGTGCACTAAGCAACTTATGCAAGACTCTGTTTTATTTATTTAATTTAAAAAAATTTGTTTAATTCTTGATGGACCTTTATTTTATTTATTTATATGTGGTGCTGAGAATCAAACTCAGTGCATCACACATGCCAGGCAAGAGCTCTACCACTGAGCCACAACCCCAGCCCAAAGACTCTGTTTTTAAATTTTAAAAAATAAATAAAAATAAAAAGGTATGGGGATGTTGCTCAGTAGTTAAGCACTTCTGGGTTCAATCCACAGTGCCCCCTCCCCACAAAAAAAGCAGTCCATGTTTCCTCACAGAGAATGGAAACCCTCAGAAAGAAGGGAGTAAATATATGCTTATCAGAATTAAATGGAGCAATATGTTTTATCCTCTGTAGGTAGAGGTAGGCCAACTATATAATCTATACCTTTTTATAACATTTTTAAATGGTTAAATTTTTCAACATAAAAATTATACTATTGTTATTGTGAATAATATGAATATTAATGTGATATTCAAATTTCAGAATCTATAAATCAAACTCTCTTGGAACCAGGCCACACCCATTCACACTATAATGTAGAGTTGAATAACTACGAAAAAGACCATATGTTTTCCAAATCCTAAATTATTTACTATCTGGCCCTTAGCAGGAAGAGTTAGCTGACCCCTGCTCTATAATCTAGATCCTATAGGAGTCTCCAATTGTAGAACTATCATAAAGGCTATTATTTCAATGTGTCTCACTTAAGTTTGTGAAAGCAATTTGGCATCATTATATTCTAGCATCTATGACAAATGTATGAAAGAAATGCACAACTCGAAGTCAAGTGTCTGCTTTTTATTTATTTATTTATTTATTTATTTATTTATACATACAAGGGATTGAACCCAGGAGAGCTTAACCACTGAGGCACATCTACAGGTCCCTGCCACCCTTTTTTGAGACAGGATACATTAAGTTCCTTAGGGCCTTACTAAGTTGCTGAGGCTGACTTAGAACTTGCAATCCTTCTGTCTCAGCCTCTCAAGCCACTGGGACTACAGACACCCAACTAGAGTCAAGTACTTGTTTAAAATTTGTACTTTATTAATTAATAATTACTATATGAATAATGAAGCATCTTTCACTGACCAGGCAGTCTACTTCCAGTTAAGGTTGGGTATGTACTTAGTGACTTTGGTGATACACAAATGTGCTTCATTTGTTCAGATTTCCAGTTTATAAAATGTCTTATTCAGCTTAACAGACAAAACTATATCATGAATATGTAATGTCAATTAGTTAAATTCAGTAAGTAACATAATCTTCCTGTTTGCTTCATGCATCACTCCCTTTATGCCCTGAACAACTGATTGTTTGGGACTAAGATGTAAAATACTTGGGTGATTTTGAAAATCAGGTTTATAAGAGCACTGACAAAGGCTGTGTTTTACTCACTGATCAGATTGGTTTGATTGATTTGGAACTTATTCAATTTCCAAAAGTTTTACAAGTCCAAACCTGCCCTGTACTTTTATAATGAAATCCCTAAGAAAAATAGCAGATAGAAATATTGCTTTATAGTAGATACAAATGATCAAATCTAACTTATTTTTTACTATGAAAAAACTAGATGTTCTGAATAACTGAAATTCCTGAATAACTGAAAGTTATCATTCTGTAGTGACTAGGTAATAAATAGAAATTTTTTTGAAGTGTAATGTTTTCCAGACTTCTTTTAAAGATTTTGCTGAACATGCATTAGTCATTCTTGATAACTTAAATATTATCATGAGCATCAGTTAGTGTACTGTGCAGTAGTAATATTATACTATGTTCTATTTGTGCTCTTGGAGCTGTTAATATAGGTAAAAAGGGCCAGAGTGTCTGCTTTTCAACTTCTGAGTTTGCTGTCATTTTCTGTGGATTTCTGTGCTGTCAATTTTTACATCTCAATGTTTCTTTCAATGGCTGGACATTGTTCAAAAGTATTTCCCCTTCCTTGCCATCTGTGATTGCTAAGGGGTAGGAATCAAGAGGTCAGAGTTTTTAGAACCTATTATCAAAAGGCTGTTCTCTATCAGTGAGGGTTCAGAAGCCTTTGAATAAGAAACCCCATGGGCTTCACCATAGCTGTCTAGCTAAGAGGGCTTTCCCACCCCTTCTTGAGTTGATTGGAGTCTTCTGGAATGGGGATCCTCCCAAAAGACAAATCTCTCAAGCAATGAAGTCATGCTGAAGAGATTGGAAACTTCACTTTCAGCTAAAGCATGGTGGTATAGTTCTTGCTTACTTGTTTTAAAGATAAATTATGCTGTGGTCTTGTTTTCCTCTATAGAGTGGTGAGAGTAAGCTTCATGAATAGATTACTTGCAGCAGTGATCAATAACTAATTCTTATATTTACTTGAATTCATTGTCTCCAGTTTTAGAATGCTTGCTTTGCAGTCTGTTCTAATTCTCTCTTCTATCTGCATAGTACTATGTGTGACGTGAACATCACTGTAGTGTTTCTGCCTGCCAGTTGTCAGGATCCACATGGGTGTGCCAGCAAGCCCAATGTGTGCAAGTCTGAATTTCTCAAAACAGTAAATGAATTGGATGAACAGTGACTTTTAAATTAAATTTAAATCCTTTTGAATAATGTACCCTACAAACATTAAAAATTGGTTCCTATACTTTAACAGATTTGTGAGTGAGTTTTAAGAACCCTTCTCTGGCACAAAATAAAGTACAGCCATTGCATATGAGTCATTGTGAAGGTAAAAAGTTGGAGTGTTTTCTAGAAAAGGGGAAATTTAGCATATCTATAAATTAAAGTCTTATTTATAATTTTACCAAAGCCATGATCATTTGTTTGTTTGAATCAAGTCTCCTTTACTTCCTTGGAAACATGATTGATTGCTTAGTTAAGTAAGAAATTATGCACTTCAATTTCACACATATGGGTCATTTGTTTCTATGTGGCACGCATTTCCAAATAGATACCAGTCTTACTTATAATTCTGATAAAATGGGAATTAGGATCATGTGGCAGCAGGTATGGCTAGAAAATGCTTGTCCTTCAAATAGAGCTACTGACTGAAGCCTAATTAATGTAATTGCTAATGGTTGCCCATTTGCAAGCATTAGTCAACTTTATATCTTCAGCCATAAAAGAATATACCTTTTTTCCCTTGTAATAAACTAATGTTTGTATTATGTGTTCTTCCTTATAGGAATCTCAACATTTGACCCCAGGATTTACATTACAAAGTAAGTGTTTTTGAAGATTCCTTGTTAGTCCAAGCATCCATGTCCTCTTTTCCATTGCTTCTCACTGTTTCCTAGTCAATATCATTAAAACATGGTAGAAAAATGACAGTTATGTTGCAATATTTTTCATCTGTTATCCATGAAAGGAAACTTGGAGGACTGCATGTTTGAAAACTAGTTTCATTCAGAATTATTGTTTGACAGTAGAAACATGAATAGTAATTTTTGGTGTTCTTTATTTCAGAGTGGAGTGACCCAACCAGCAGAGCTTCTACAAAGTCAGTATCATTCACATCGTGAGTACTTGGATTTCCAAGCCAGGCTTCTGGGGGGCACTGGTATTTGTCAAAGGAAGAGTACCTCAATTCTGAGCTTATTCTTTTTGTTCTTTCTTGCTCCTTCAAACTATGAATCCTGATTCATAGTAAGATGTGCTTTCATCAGGGGATATAATTACATCTCCCATTGTCTTTGCCTGTTTGGGCTGCTATAACAAAAATCCATGTGCTAGGTATCTTATAAGCAACAGAAGTGTATTTCTCACAGTTCTAGTGTCTGAGAAGTCAGATATCAAGGCACTAGTAGAACTGATGTCTGGTAAGGACCCACTTCCTCATAGACAGTCACCTTCTCTACCTCACATGGTAGAAGGGACAAGATGTCTCTTTGAGCACTCCTTTATAAAGGCACTCATCCCACTCATTAAGGCTCTATTCTCATAATCTATCACCCTGGGGGTGACGATCTAATGGGAATTTTAGGAGGATACAAACATTTGGACTATAGCAAGTAGCACTAATCTATGTGGACACCATTAGGCTCTCTAATTATGTAGATAAATGTTGGGTCAATACATGAGATATGGAAACAACTCTGATTTCAGTTAAAAAAAAATCTGTAGATGTCTATTTCCCACATCTTCACTACTTGTTTAAGTATTACACACCTTTAACTACAAACATCATCATACATAGTAGTCAGCTAGTGCTAGCTAGGGTGGGCAAGGAACACATCTGAGCAACCATGATTGGATGTAAACTGTTGAATGGCTTACTGTGGTCAGTCTGTCCAAGACCCTAGTATTTACAGGTCATCTAACATCTGTATATTAAACACAAGCAGGACTACCCAGGAAGGGATAGAGTATGAGATTACATGGTGCTCGTTTGAAGTTCAGAAGCCAGGGTCCTGCAATTCACTCAGGACAATCTTCATTTTTTATTAATGTTAATTGAAGGAGGAGTTTGTAGAAACCAATTTCCTCAGATTAACTGTTGTATATTTTTTAATATCCATTTGTCCAAGAATGTATCAAGGGAGTAGCTCTCTCACAACTTCTTTCATTCCTAATAATAGAAAATAGAAGTAGAATTTCTGTGTGAGAAATAGTACATACTTTAAATTTTTCAAAATGAAATAATTTATGACATTCAAGTGGTCTAATGGCATACTTGAAGCAAATTGCTCACCTTTTGGAAGATCACAAATAATTGCATAAAACAACTGGGAATGATTGCCAAATAGACTGAGGCTCTGAGAAAGTCAATCGCATTGGTACTACACATTCTTGCTGCAGTGTAGTGGCAAAGCCTGGAAGTCCTGACCCTATCACCAATCATCTTATTTGGTTTTCTAGCCTGATCTGTGCCTTGTAATTCAGAGTTCAACTTCAATAACCAAGAGTCCTCAATTGAAAAACGAAACAAGAAAATATAACAAGAGAGAGAACAAAACCATAATCCTAATTTAAGTATCAAACTTTATGGAAACACAGAAATCAAAATCATCTTTATATTGTGAAATTCAGCTTTTCCAAGAATCATCTAAATAAATTCCCTTGGTTATTCTAGTAATCAATATATCTTTTTCTCCCTGGTTCTACTCCTACTCCACTTTACCCCCCATTAAAAAACTCAATAAAACACATGCAGATTTAGGAAATCAATGCAGGTTTACAAACATGAAAAATATAAAAGCATATTTTTCAATGTACAATTATTTTACTCCCAGAGCTTAAGTGTTAGTCTCCTGCTAGAGAAATGCTATTTTCTATATATACCATAGAATGAAATATTCCAGTAGTTTCTAACTAATGGAAATGAACTTTTCAATGGAGGTTTATAGTTAAGGGCTGCATTTCAGAAAACACCTCCTTATAGCATGGTGGTATATAGTACAGTCAATAAGATTAAAATTCTCTATATGAAGCTTTGGTAAAATTAGAAGACACCAAGTTTATTTTATAAATGAGCTACTCCTTTTTTTGGCTACTTGATTTAAAGCTTAGACACTGCCCATCAAATTTTACCTGGAATAAATTCCCTTCTGGTTGTAGTAGGATAAAATTTTAATACAGCATAAGTCAGACTTGTGATAGATTTGTTTTCATTTTTAATTTCCAAATTATTAAGAACTACTATTATTCCCCCATATCTTACCACAGTGTACTTTTAAGCCAACTTCTAGGATTTTCCATTTGTCAGGGTAATCCTCCAGGCTATTAAGAATATTCTGAGTATAGACAGACTTCTGGTGCCTGGAGTTTGGAGGGAAGTAGTCCCCAAGTCAGTGGGCCATGGGAATAATGCCCACCCAAGGTCAGCAAATGTGCTGGACATGCTCCCCATCACTTAGTGCCAGTGCAGAGAGATTAAAGTCTTGTAAAACAATCCCTTAATTGCTGAGACACTCTATTCATTTTCTTCCTTTTTGCTTGTTTTCTTTGGTTGACAAAATGCAGATCTTCCATTGGAGTGTGGATTGTTTATAAGGACTATGTGCATGGCCCCCAGGTCTGAAAATACTGACCCTGGGTGCCTTAGTGCAGATTTGCAACTAGCCAGGCTCCCTTTTTGTTCTTGACATTTGCTGCTCTCTCTGGGCCTGACCCCAGTGCATGATTGGCCTTTTGGAGACTGGATATTTTCCCACCCAGTCACTGCACTTTGTTAACATACAATGCTTTTCACCGGGTGTTGTCAATGGGGTGATATTCTATATGCTCCATCTGGAACCTTGAATGCCTGTGAAGCAAGAGCATTAGACTGGGGAAGTTTGGAGACCTGTGTCTGAGCCTCTGCTCCCTAGCAATTTTTGTATTGGGAGAAACCAATAACATAGGATACAGAGGATGCAAGTTTAGATCAGCAGAATGTATCTTTAAAGCATACAGAAAGAATCCCTCAAGGGAAATTGTACAAATTAATGAGCTCAGTGTATACACATATGGATATGTACACAAACACTTCTCGAATTCTATGTAAGCATACTCTTTAGAAGGTAAAACTTGCAAAATAAGAGTACATTTAACTTTAATCCTTAGTAATTTTGGTGTCCCCCAACCCACCCACCTTTAGTCTCTATTATTCTGAGCTGTTTTACAGTCTTTGAAAAATCCTTTCCCAGATCTTCTGAATCCAGTGAGGTTTATTGCCTCCTCCAAAAATGGTCTGTGCCTTCAAAAGGAGGGTGAGACATGAGCTTAAGAAGGTCAAATTGTATTTCTTGGGATGACAGAATGGTGTATTTTTATAGTGGTATCATGTCAATTCTGTGACTAAGAGATACACTATTTTCAGTTTCCAGATTCAGGTTCTCAAAATACTTACTAGACACTGTGTTAATTTATACTTTATTTCCTTTTTTGTGGGAAGGAGGGTATTGGGGATTTAACCCAAGAATGCATTGCCACTCACTCATATATCCTGTCTCTTTTTTCGTTTTATTTTGTTTTGTTTTAATTTCAAGACAGTGTCTTGCTAAATTGCTGAGGTTAGTCTCAAACATATGATCTTCCTGCCCTCGGCCACCTGAGACCATTAAGGAGTAATGGAGGAGGGGAAAAAAAGAATTTGGATTTTTTGTTTTTGGCTGAGTTAGATTGCTTCATCTAATTTATTGTAATGCCTTGTCAATTACTTGTCAATACCTTACAAAAGGTATGACATTTTATTCTTTTATGAGCCATCATAAATTGAAAGAAATAAATGTATTCCATTTCCTTGAGAAGAATTTTCAGCTTTCATGAACTCGTGGGTGTCTACCAAACAGCCTTTGACTTCAGTTAGTTTTGTGAGTTGTTGAGAAGGTGGCAGCTTTAAATATCTGATACTTTTGTTAAACTTGGTTGTTAACATTTGGACTCTATCTAAATGGAAAAAATCCAGACCCCCCACCTTTCAACCAAGCAGATGTTGTATTATAAGCCATACTATACAGAATGTCCAGCTAGTTTCTATGAAAGCCCCCAAATAAAGACAAATAGGACCATATGTCATTTTTTCTTCATCATAAATCTACTTCTTGCACTTATAGTATTAGCTACATATTTGAAAACATCACAACCATGGATGTAGAGAGTTGATAAAAGACCACATGGAGACATACTGGTTGTAACCAGCCTCAATTTACCTGTGGGTGTTTGACAAGCATTTCACATGAACAAATGATTGAATGTAACTATATGTAGGAGGAAAGGAAATTACAACATCTAAGAAATGGCAGAAGTCTCAAACAATTATCATCGTGTCTAGGCACATGTTCTAGGCTCCATCCCAGGCTCTGGTGTGTGTGTGTGTGTGTGTGTGTGTGTGTGTGTGTGTGTGTATGTGTATATATAATCACCCTATCAAGCTTATCAGCCATCCTGGAGGTGCTGCACTTTATTCCAATTCTATAGATGAGAAAATCAAACCTACAGTGTATCCCTTCCCCTAATGTGTGCACAATCCAAATACACAATGAACTAATCATGTATACTGATCTCGAATGAATATTTTGGCTACAAACATGCAGAAGAACCATCAAAGTAACACCATTCTTTGGTGGGAAAGTTTGAACCTGGGCTCAGGACCATATAGATCCAAAGTCCCTGCTCTTCCTTCTATGCTGTACTTCCACATGGGATCTGATGGCTTCAAGGATTTGGTACACCAAATTTAGCTTTTTGTACCTGGATATGATCTTTAAACAGACCTGTAGTGCTGCTTGGTAGAAATGATTAACAAAAGTTATTATGCCTCTATGCTTTAAAATATGCAAAACCGGATCAAAACTGTTAAAATATCATTATTTCTAAACTTTTCCCTAAGTGTTATGGAGATTTAATTACCAGAGAGAATATAAAGATTATGAGAAATTTTTTCACATTGCTGTAACCAATATAAGCATTACATTATTTCTTCAATGAATTTTATTTTTTTACTGAAATAAAAAAATCCCCACATTCATTACAACCCTGACCATCCATCTGCCAAAACTTTCATCATTGGAAAAATTCCTTTTGAGAATTTGATTT